AGAAGAGCTTGCTTTTTGTTGACGAGGACAACCTGCAGAACTTAATGCCTTGTTCTTTTTGAGGCGCCATGCCGTCGAGGCGCCTGTCGTCTCCATGTTGATGGCCGAGACAGTTCCTTTTCGGCCGAGATGAGATGGAACACTTCAGAGTCGATAGATCACTTGAAGCGTGTTGACTGTCATATCATCATCGATTTCGATGGGAGTTTGAGGAGTTTTTCAGGTACTCTACTTTTACGTTCAGTGATCAAAAAATAGCAAGACAGTCAAGACCATCTTAAAGGGATCACATGGGATCACTATAGATTGGGGTGTTGGGAGGAGTCCTCAGGATTCCTTTGACCATACGAGATAGGGATCAAGACATTTGCTGGTGATTCACGAGTCTTGTGGTTCAGAGCGCACGAGGGATGGATCCGCCTTTTCAGATCCTTTTCCAAGTCTGCAAGGCCGATGAAGGAGAACGACTTGTCAAGCGGCCAAGGTGCGCGAGACGGAAATTCTTCGATCGGATCGTTGGATGATGAGGTGGATCGCTTGTTTCTTTCTTTTGTGGATTTCCTCCAGGAGTTGTCTTCATTTGCACGGGCGAAGATGGCTGCATCTCATGCGAGACTCTACAGTAATTACTGACATATCAAGCAAAGGGAACAGTTTGGAGGTCAGAAAAACATTTTACTCCGAAGGAACCTAGCGAAAGGTCCGGCTAAGATTGCTAAGTCAGGTTTGTCATAACTGGCCTTTGCACATCGATCAAGCGCCGACCTGACCTGGCTCTTCCGGTCATGTATCTGTAGTCATGGACTGACTAAAGGTGACTAGACATTTGGTGGTGAAACCGTGAGTGTTGCGCGACTCAGTGTTTCCGTCATGGACACTTTTCCTTGGTGCCCGTGCAAAGGTGGCCCGCCTGTTTGGCAATTCTCCGTGCTATTTGAGGCACCTGCTGGAACAGAAACTCCGAGAGTTTCATCTTTGGGCAGAACAACGAGATCTGGGATTCAACAGCTCTATCGGCTGAGGAACAAAAGGTTTCACACTTCTGACTGGATATTGCACAGACAGATGGTAACAGGTATTTTGAGAGCCTGACGACTTCTTCCCGTTCTTTTTCTATCTTTTTTTTGATACCTTCTTGGCTTGATGCCAAGTCATCTTCCACCTATTATGGAACCTTCTGGAGCGGTGAACTGTTGAATGCACAGCCATTTGTGATGGTTCAGCTGATACACCTGCGGTCTGTTGCTGGTACAGCCAATGCCAGAAGGAATGGCTGCGAGGTCCGGATGCAACTAGAGAGACCTGGATGGAACGATCACGGCCAAGATAGCAAGTTATACATTCCTGTGGTTTGCATGTCAACCAAGCGATGGAGAAGGGGCGAACGGAAAGATGATAGATTCCCGGACGAACATTTTGTGATATATTTGAGACTTCTATGACACCAATGATGACCCCCATTACTTTGAACGCTGTTCCATTACTGAGCTTTGAAAGATCGTCAGTTGGCTGTGTCAAAGCGACATTCAGAAGCAATCTCTCATCATTGAAACTTCCGTTGCAGTCAGCGCTTCGGCAGGGAGCGACCACGGAGAAGGAACCTTTTACGTCACCAACTTAGATGCCAGGGTAGACGCCAGGTTCGCCAGGTTCAAGGGCATGTGGCTTCGTATCTAGTAATTAGGAGAGTGGGAACACATCTTCTCCAGGGACCATTTATATACTGTAAGTTCTAGATTGGACAGAACTGATGGGACGCTGTCCGCTGCCCAAGGGCTTTCGCCAGCTGAACCGCTGAATCGCCCGAAGCTCGCCAGCTGATTGCCCTGGAGCTAGCCAGCTGAGGCTGTGCACTTATGTGGCCCTCTTCCAGTTCAAGGCTTGTGACGAGTGAGCCAAAAACAGCAAACATCTGTTGAGTTACTAATAGCAATGGCCTCCAACCTAATAACAGCGATGGCCTCCATCCGAATAGCGAATGTAAGCACAGATTGGATTGGCTTTTTAAGCTTACTTTTACAACCGGATGGTGTGTTCTTCCCACCCTGGAAGCTCCGGATGGTGTTTGTGGAGAAGGAGGTTCCCAGCATTTGGAGGTTCAAGACCGAACACGAGCAAAGCCGCAGCGCGAAGATGGGAGCTCAGCTCTCCACCCCTCGTGATGCCGCGTTTGTGGCACCAAAGCCAGTGCTTCGATGTGTCCAGAGCAATGGCCTGGCCCAGACGATTCAGGTGGCTGGGTGAGTTGGGAACTGAGGGGTGGATGCCTCAACTGAAGAGTTTGGGAAGATTCTTGGGCTGAGACCCAGGAAGGCTTTTGAAGAACAATTTGTATCACTTCCCTGTGTTTTCTTTCTTTTCTGCGTGTCCCAGTACCAGATGTGGAAGTGCGGTCAGAGTCACATCCCCATGGCTTTCAGGAAAAACCAGGATCTACCTACTTAAGCTGTCATTTGTGGACCCAAGAGCAGCCCTGTCAGACCATTTCTGAGTTTTTGTAGCTTTCTTGGGATTCTAGGCATGCTGTGGAATGATGCTTTCGCCAGTAGGTTGGAGGCCATCGCTGCTCGTAGTAGGTTGGAGGCCATCGTTCCTAGGTTGGAGGCCATCGCTAGTAGGGTGGAGGCCATCGCCTACTAGTAGGCCACTCTAGTAGCGTCCTTGCTCCTAGTAGTGATGCCAGGAGCCCCTAGTAGCTTCTTGTTCCTAGTAGTAAGGCCAGGAGCCCCTAGTAGCGTCCTACTATGTTGCTGTTGATCGGCCTGGAACACATCTCAACTTGACTGCTCGCACAGGCCCCTCAGGCTCCTCACGCATCTGATCCATCTGGTCTCGTGGCAGCTCACGCATGGTTGCCTGCGGCCTCGGCACTTGCCTTGCTGGCAGCTGGCCGTATGAAAAGCACCAAGGGCTCCAAGGGCAAGGCCTGCTTTTGCGGATGAGATTCGACATTGGAACGGTTTTCTCTTAAAAACTGCAGGGACCGGTTTTGATCCATTGAACATCAAACCCTTTTTTGAAAAAGCTGGAACGGATGCCACGAACGCTGTTTTGGCTAGACAGATCCATCAGCTGGCCTGTTTGATTGCGAAGCCTCAGAGGCCCAGGTGCGCACGGTGCGCCACTATGCCGACCATGGGTCGCCGGATGGAATACCTTTGTCCCCAGAGCTTTACACCGAAGCTGGCTGGAAGGCAGTGCAATCAGCCGTTGAGAATGCCAGGTGGGAAGGGCTGGGGATGCTTTGGTTGATGGGGATGGGTCAAGACCTGGAGCCCCAAAATCATGTCAATCCAGCGAACGACCTTCCTAGGTCAACGAAGGTATCCTGGTTTTGACCCACAGCCTCATCTCTCGTGGAACTCTCTGCTAGCCTGGTGCTGTCTCCACACCTAGGCTTCCACTCAGTTTGCATGTCGACCGCCCAGCCCTGCGCTTTGCTTTCAGAATTTGTGTCAGGCAGTTGCAATCGCAGTTCATCGAGACAGAGCACGTTTTCCTCTCCTTGCTGGACTGTCAATTCCTCACCTTGTTGTGAGATGTTGTATGTGTTGTATGAAGGTACAGTAATGATCAACATCAGTGCCACCAGCCAGCCATGTCTTGGTGCCGACATTTGCTGCGAACAAATCCGAGTGTGTTGCATGTTTTGGTTCCTGCTCGTTTGTGCCCTTCGGAGGAGGAGAATGGCGTCGGTGAAAAGATCTTCTCAAAGGCCGCTGAGCAGTTACTGTCGCTGTGTTGCGACGCCCCATTGGGGTGTCTGAGAACGACCAAGAACAGGACCGATCGCATGACCCGACCGGGGCCCAGCAGTCCGCCGCCCACGGATGCATCGGCCGCACGCCCACGAAGTGGTCCATCGCTAGGCAGCTGTGCCCCAGTCCGATCTCCGCAGCCACGTCCGCGCCTGGGCCGAGCGGCAACCGCGCCTGGTCACCGGAGCCGCTGGTTCCACGGGCGGCGCAACGGCGGGGTCGGCGGCCGGGCGGAGCTTGGTGGCGTTGCTGACGGAGGCGCAAGGGATCTCGTCCCAGTGGCTGGGCCTCGGATGTGACCGGTGGGGCTGTTGGATGCGGGAGTTGGACGTGTTGGTGGTTTTTGCATATGAAGTGGAACAGTTTGGCAATAGCTATAAAAGATCTAGAGGTGAGAGTCAGACAAGAGCTTTGGGAAGACTTGTGTAAGCAGCTGACAGCTGACCCGTGGATAAGCCTGGGTCACACCAGCAGCAGAAGAATCGATAGAGAACCAACCCTGCACAGATATTCCTGATCATAGTCATGGGCCGCAGAGTGGCGGGGGAGACTTTGGAACGAAGATCATCCAGACCAAGTTTTTCGGTATGACTCGGTATGACTATGTGTTTGGATTTCTTGATTGGAAGTGACTCCTGAGGTGGGGTGACAAGTTTATCTCCGTGGATGCCTTGCTCCTTGCTCTGGCCAGAGACCAGCGCTGTGGGCAGAAGCTCATGAAGGACTTTGGACTCGAGGAGGAGAAGTTGAAAGAAGCCATCCAAGCGGCCACTTCGAAAACAAGTCCGTTATTTCTGACTTGTGAGTGATGTGGAGTGTGTTCCGTGTGAAAAGACTTTGTGGATCTTTGTTGCACATTTCTTGCGGTTGGCGTACTTTTCGACCGGTTTGGCCCGGTTTGTGCCGGGTTTTTCACTCGGGGAGTTGAGGGAACTCAATTGATGGGTGTCCGCTTTTTCATCGACATCTTCGACCGAGGTGAGGGGGAAAGGTCCTGTGACCTCTCAAACTGCAGAGTCCAGCTATGAAGCGCTCAGCACCTACGGCAGCGATTTGACCCAACTGGCCCGCGATGGCAAGCTGGATCCGGTGATCGGACGCGACGAGGAGATCCGACGGGTGGCAGCTTGGACCCGGTCCGGGCGGCCGCGAAGTTGGGACTTGAAGTGACGTAGACGGTTATTTGAGTCTCTGGATCCACGCTGCTGTTTGAGGGTATGGCGAACTTGGGATGGCTAGACTTGCTCATTCAACCTTGCCGGCTATGACATTTGGAAGACATCTACTTCTTTGCAATGACCAGGCCACCACTCTTATTATTCCTTCATCCGATCATCTAGTCCGCACACCACACAGCCATGGCTCAAACATAGGGTGACCCTCAATTCCCCTGGTCCAAGCAAAGCATCACGGGTCAAGGGGTTCTATTGGTTCCATCGGTTCGATCCTTCTTTTTGAAACTCGGGTTCTATCCCCACACCTGCTCACACCAGATAGAGCCGAAACACGGCGACTTTCGTTTTGGCTCCTTTCCAGGGCTCCAAGAGCACCTCCAAAATCGCGAACGATTCGAGGTGCAAATCTTGGCGCGACGCTCCAAGAACAACCCCGTGATCATTGGGGAGCCGGGCGTTGGCAAGACAGCCATCGTGGAGGGCCTAGCCCGTCGCATCGTGGACGGGGATGTGCCAGAGGCCTTGAAGGACAAACAGGCTGGGAAGATGAGGGAAGGGGCTCGAGGAGCTCGATTTGCTGTGAGTGCTTGATGCAGTCAGCAGCTGCTTTTCCATCACATTAAAGAAGGAACTAGGGCTCGGAGGGGATATAGTTGGTACAACCAATCTCTTTTGTCTGAACCATTTCTGGTTTGAGGTGATCTCACTGGACATCGGTGCTATGGTGGCAGGGGCCAAATACCGCGGTGAATTCGAGGAGCGCTTGAAGGCAGTTCTCAAGGAGCATGGGGGACCAGCAGCGTCATGAGACGTTCTTTTGTTGTTCTGTTCAGCAAAGCCCTTTATGTTGGATGATTGCACACTGGCAGAGGAGATCAAGGAGTCAGAGGGGAAGGTCATTACTTTCATTGATGAGATGCACTTAATCGCTCATTGGCTTGGAATGTTTTTGTTATATTTTACACTTTCCCTTTGCTAAAAGCCCTTAGGATAGCAGAACTGCTTCTTTTGGCTTTGATTCAGCTAAAGATGGGCCTTGGGTTTTGTTTCCGCACCTAAAAAAAATGTCTCTTTTCTCAGCCCAGGTTGGTGCAGGTGCTAGTGGAGGTGCCATGGATGCCAGCCGCCTGCCCTTTGTTTGAGGGGTCGCACTCGTCGGCCTCGCAGTTTCGTGCAGCCGACTCGGTGAGGCACTCAAGCGACAGGTGGATTCTAGGAGTCCAAGATTCAAGTCATGTGTGGGAAGTACTCAAGATTTAAGATTGACTCAAGATGTCCATGACGACTCTTTGCTCCTTCATTTGATTGTTCGCAGCACTGCTGCCAACTCTAGCATTTCCTTTTCACTCACACATCGAAGTCAGACTTTGAGACTCTGTTGTCAAGTTGGCCGCGTTGTCTTCTGAAAATCTCGGGGTGAGCCATTGTTTTTGAACATCCCATCTCTGCCTGACTCTTGAGGCAATATCTTGAAGCCTATGTTGGCTCGTGGAGACCTTCGTTGTGTTGGTGCAACCACCTTGGATGAGTACCGGCAACACATCGAGAAAGATGCGGCTCTCGAACGTCGCTTCCAGCAGGTCCTAGTACCTTGACACAAAAAAGGAACGGCAGTCTGTTCCAGTTCGGTCAGAGAGACAGAGATGTTTGGCGGGAGCCTTGAGAGCTCACACCTCCCAGGAGAAGCATCTTTTCCTTCAAGCCCAGTCAAGTGCATCACGATTATGATGAACAACCGGGTAGATTTCCCTCTGCTCGTAGATGAATAATACAAGGGCATATCTTCCATCATGGCCAATTCCTGCCCCTTCCACTCCGTGCAATATCCACTCTGCTCACTTGAAATTGCTCCCCTCACCGGCCAAATCCTGGCGCCGGTCGGGTGCCGAAAGCCACGCGCCGCGCCCCGGTGCCTCCGGGACGCTGTCCTGCGCCCGCCTGCCCCCGTCCGACGGGTCACTGGAGGCGTCCGACGCCGAAACCTGCGTTGACCCAGGTGTCGGAGCCGAATGAGGTGGACACCATCAGTGTGCTGCGCGGCCTGAAGAGCCGCTACGAGCTGCACCATGGCGTGCGCATCAGCGACCGCGCGCTGGTGGCCGCGGCGGTGCTCAGCTCCAGGCGGGGAGGGGGAACCGGGGAAGCGCGAGGGGTCACGAGCTTCTCGGGGTCACGGAGAGGATTCTGGTTGTCGTGGCCCGTTCATAAACCCTGTCCCTTGCGTAGGTAAGATAGCTGTGGCTTCTGCCAAAACGGGTGATTTTCAGGCTTTGGCTGCTGAACACCTTCTTTTGTGCAAGGCTTGGCTCAAACTTGATATCGTAGGATGCTTTAGTGCATATCTGACAGATGGTCAGTTCAGAGGGAGAAGCAGCAGTTGAGAACTTTTCGCCACCTGAGCACCGGGATCGGATCTTTGCCCTGATCATTGCGGGCACCTTCTGTGGACAGCTGGGCTTGTCGATTCTGACTCCCTTCTTCCCAGCAGAAGCCAAAGCGAAGGAAGTGAGTCAAACGACCTTGGGATGGATCTTCAGTATTTTTGAGCTTGCAACCATGGTCTTCACCCCGGTGGCAAGTCGATTGTTGGTGCGATTTGGTTCCAAGCCCATTTTCGTGGCCGCCAACTTCATTGGAGGCATTGCCAACATTTTGCAGGGCTTTTGCTGGTATGCCACTGATGGCCCATTCTTTATCATTGCTTCTTTGCTGCTGCGGGTATTAGGAGGAGTGGCTTTCTCCTTTCAGTCGACTGCAGGCTACAGCTTGCTGACACCTTTGTTTGGTCCCACAGTCAGCACGGCTGCTGGCACACTGGAAGGAGCTAATGGATTGGCACTGATCCTGGGTCCAATTGTTGGATCTACCCTCTTCACCCTCGGGGGTGGTGCTCAACATTTAGGCTATGTGATCCCCTTTCTGGCCTTAGGTGTGGCCGAGGCACTCTTCAGTGCTCTGAATTTTCTGCTGCTGCCCAAGCTGCCAACTCCCCCCAGCAACCATCCCAGCTTGAGGAACTTCTCCATCAAAGCCCTGCCTGCAGCCATCAACTGCGTTATTATGGGCATTGCCTTGGGAGTATTGAATCCAACTTTGCAACCACATTGTGCTGCGCCACCCTTGAATTACGATGTGCAGATGGTGGGCGTGGCATTTGCTGCGATCTGTGCGATTTATTCGGTCCTTGCAGTGGTGGCAGGAAAGGTTGATGACCTCTTCGAAGGAAGAAGAGGGGTGCCACTGATGGCCCTTGGTGCTTTCCTTACTGCAGGAGCTTACTTCATGCTAGGGCCAATACAGCTTGTCATTGGTGGCCACATTCTCCTGGAACTGAAGCCGTCTCCTGCCCTCTTCTGGATTGCAGCATGCTTATTGGGCTCTGGAGTGGCCTTTGGCTTCATCCCTGTTTACAAGCAGTTTGTCACCCATGCCATGCACTCCAGCACTGAAGAACGTGATCTGGCGGCTTCGGGCGCCTTCACGATTGCGGTGGCGATGGGGTCCTTCCTGGGACCTACCTTGGGGGGACTCTTGAGTGAGCTCATTGGGGTTCGCGGCACTTACACCTACACAGGGCTCATGGAGTTGGTGCTCTTCTTAGTGCTAATCTGCCTTTCTTTGACTCCGGCCTTCACACATGCTGGTCGGGATCCGCCTCTCCTGGGCAGCAACGTTGCATGATGGAAGATCAAACCGAGAAAGGTCGGTTTTGGGGAGTTTCACGAAGATAGCTTCACCCAAGCGAAAGTGTACAGATGTCTGACATGCTGAAAGACGTAGGTTTGCCACCTTTTCACATGCAAACGCGACACGGTTCTCACTCGTGAACGACGTCACGGATCGCAGCGATCCCGGCACCAGATACATCACGGATCGCTTCTTGCCGGACAAAGCCATTGACCTCGTGGATGAGGCTGCAGCCATGGTCAAGATGCAGGCGCACCAACTTTGGGATGAACCAACCTTGGGACCAGCCGGGGGGATCTTTTTGGCAGGACAGTTTTGGTGGCTTTTCTCTAAAATCACTGCTTTTCTGCCAGTGTCTTTCGGAAAAAAGACATATACACACACACACATTTCATCAACATTTCTATACTTTCTCCCACTTGTCAACAACTACTTCTTTGCAAGTCTGTTTCCATATAGAAAATACTTTCTCCCTTTTTGTACTTCCTTAGCATTGGCCAAATCACCATCTATATATATATATATTACCGTTTGTAAACTTTGGACGCTTCATGGCTTGAATTTCGCAGCGGCAGATGTGAGGGGCACGTGGCATATTCCAAAACCACAGGCCAGTAGAATCTTTGTACGCGACATGTCTCACAGCTTCTACTTCTACCTTTTCTTCTGCACTTTTCTCCTGACATTCTACTTTGTCTGAAAAGCTCTATATACACCTATTTTGACTTCTTCCTGAATTTCCCAATTTCCTCCTGAATTTCCGAATTTCTTTCACTTTTCTTAGCTTTCTTTGGAATCTTGGACTGTTCTTAGCTTTCTCAAGAAACTCTGGCTTTTGATTTCTCTTAACACCCTGGCCTTCTTTGCGTTGCCGTGGAGATTTTTGCTTGTCTCCACAAATCTGTACCGACGGTACTTTCTTTTTTCTGCAGGTAGTTTCAATTGAAAGACACTTTTCTGTGCTTCCTCAACTGATCCGTGCCATTCTACGCTTTTTGTTCTTTCGCTTTTCCTTTTCCTGTTGCTTTCCTCTCCGTCTCTTTCCTTTCAATGGTCAAGGTCCTGTCTCGAGCCTTGCATTTTTCAAACTTGTTTTTGTTCCATTTTTCTTGTCCATTTCCTTGTATTCTTCTTGTCCAGCCGCATTCCTGACAAAATTCCCAATATTATCCAATACTGCCTCAAGTGACTCTGTTGCCGGTAAACAATTCCCTAAGCTCTTCCAGAAAAAGGGAAGAACCACACCAAAAATTCACCGCCCTGTCCAAAATGATCCAAACTGTTTATTGGAGACTTGAGCATCACTCGCCTCAACCTTCCAACCTTATTTGTGACCCTTTTCATCCCAGAGGCACACCCTGCTGCGCCGGAAACCAGGTAACTTCGAAACCCACCGACTTGGAGCGACTGGACCGTCGAATTCTTCAACTCGAAATGGAGCGCCTGAGTATCGGTGCTTTGGAGAAGAACCCGACGGATTCGGGGCAAGGCAGGTTGCAAAGCATTGGAACACGAAGAGGGAAGCCAAAGACTTTTTCTAGTTCCAAAGACCCGGATTCTCTTCCAGGCTTCACAGCTTAACATAAGCTGCCTGCGTGACAAATGCTCTTCACATACAATACTCTGGTGTTTTTTTCCCCAAACAGTGTGGACACACTTAGGGGTTCTTACGCTAATGGAAAAGCAGCTGATGCTTAGATCGCTGGCGCGGGCGTGACCGGCTAATTCGCTGCTATTTGCAGTACATTCATGCCTCTCGAAATCCTCGAAGTGCATTTCGACTGCGCAGGCTCGCTGAATCTGGTTGGGCGCGGAGGGTGCTTCTAGCGACTGCGCTCTCGTTGTGGTGCCGTGTGCATTTTCGCATGTGGTGGTCACTTTTCGTGGCAGGCGCAAGGGAACCTCGTGTTTTGGTGCTTCAAAGTCGACTTTTCGTGACAGGTGCAAGGGATCGGAGCTGTTTTACTTCGAGCTGCAGTTTTCGTGGCAGGCGCAGCATTTTGGACATGGTGGTGATCGTCGAGGAGCTCAGATTTCGTGACAGGTGCAGTGAATCGTGACTTTCGGACATGTGGCTCGTTTGAAGATTTCGTGGCAGGCACAGCACTCTGCGACCCTCGATGTGCAGATTTCGTGGCACGCGCAGCACTTTGTGAACCTTGAAGTGCAGATTTCGTGACAGGTACAGCGCTCGGTGAACCTCGAAGTGCAGATTTTGTGGCAGGCGCAGCACTTGGTGAACCTCGAAGTGCAGGTTTCGTGGCAGGCACAGCACTTGGTGAACCTCGAAGTGTAGATTTCGTGGCAGGTACAGCGCTTGGTGAACCTCGAAGTGCAGACTTCGTGACAGGTACAGTACTTTGTGAACCTCGAAGTGCAGATTTCGTGACAGGTATAGCACTTGGTGAACCTCGAAGTGCAGATTTCGTGGCAGGCACACAGCACTTGGTGAACGTCGGAGTGCAGACTTCGTGGCGCACACAGCACTTGGTGAACCTCGAAGTGCAGATTTCGTGGCAGGCACAGCGCTTAGTGAACCTCGAAGTGCAGTAATTACTTTGTGAACTTCAAAGTGCAGATTTCGGCACAGGGGCAGCACTTTGTGCCTCAGATGCTCACTCTCACTCTCACCCTCACTCTCACTCACTCACACACGCTCACACTCACACTTTTCACTCACACTCTTCACTCACACTCACATTCACACTCACACTCACTCTCACTCACACTCACTCGCACTTGCACTCACACTCACGCAC